CCACGCCACAGACACAGAAGATGGCTTGCAAACAACACACTGGTGCCGGCCCTTCGTGCAGGGGGAACTGCCAGCACCACCAGCTTTCTCCACAAGCATCACGTGTTCTAACCACATTACCACGTCTTCAGGCATAGGTTTCTTATAACCGGGGTAAGCCAAAGACAGCATTTTTGTTCCCCTTATTTATTTATTTATTTATTTATTTATTTATTTATTTATTTATTTACTTTTAGTTTGGCAATTCCACGGCATTTGCACTTGCAGGTACTTACCAGGAAGCTGGATTTCCCTCTCTCTTTGGTTTCCAGAGAGCTGCTGCTTTCCACTGCTGTCATTTTACTGCACAACAGGCTGCTCCCCGAGTTTCACTGAGCCACTTGCACCATCAGTTTGTGCCCCAGGGACATCAAGCAACTTAGTCCCCAGCAGTTGATGTGACCAAGCCACTCTTGTGTCAAGGTTGTTGGCACAATTTGCACCAAACACTCCTCGCACCCCAAATCAGTGACTGGAACTCTGCTCAGATATTAAAACCTTAAATTAATTTGCATTTCCAAGGAGTCATTTGGCACCCAAGTCTTGCAGAGACCTGTCTCCCTTGGCCATTCCTTTCTCACAGTACAGAGCGCAAAGCCAGGTGACTGCGGACGGGCTCAGCAGCTCCACCGGCGAGTCCCCCTGTTGAAACCAGCTCAGGGAGGYGAGTCACGGAGCGCGAGGGAGGCTGGCTCCATCCCCGATGAGCACGTGCAGCCTCATGGTCACGGGGCATGGCCGCCGGGACTGACTCATCCTGCCGCCYTTGCTCATGGCGGCGCGCGGGACGGGCCCCGCCTGCCTGGTGCGAGGGTTARCTCGCCCCTGGACTGCTCTGCAGGCCGAAGCAGGGCACAACCGCGAGCCCCGAGGCCTGTGACAAGGGACATCGTGTGGACGGCTTTGTGCCCCCTCAGTTGGGATCCCCAGGGGATTTCATGCAGYGCCTATGGAGGAACCATCCCTCCCACAGGTTCACTGCCAGGCAGAGACACGGGCGACCAGGCCCACATGAAGGTGGCCTCCAGTGGAAAATGACATCATGTGCTAAGAAAACGATGGGCACCTTCCAGAGGGCAGTGGAGGAGCAGGAAGCCCAAGGCCAGCGCACATCTAGACCCATGGAGAACGTTTCCTTGGCATGGGGCTCATGCCCCTCTTGGCAGGAGAGAGGATGGAGCTGCCGAGGCTCAGGTCATCCCTTAGGGGAGAAAGCGACGGGGAGAAAGCGACGCCGGTGTCGCTCCCGTGACGCCCCAAGCCACAGTGGGGCGACAAGCCCCAGCTCACAGGGAAACACGAGCCACTYACAAGAGCACAAAGCAGCCACAAGTTCCACACGAGTTGGCCACCACAATGGAGATTGAGAGCTCACTCTGCTCACCCTCTAGATTATTTCAGGAATTGGAGGTGTGGCAAAATAAAGCACGTGTAAGCCCATGACTCAGCGCCAAAGGCCATTCCAGGAGGTAGGTGTCCTTCCTTATCCTCACCCAGTGCAGCCAGCAGGAGTCCATCCTCATCGGCATGAGGAAGGGTGGATATCCCTATGAGCAGCTTCCCACCATTGCTGGATGACTCAGCGACTTGTATATCCACCTGGAGGGACCAGGATTTGGCAACATCCCCCTGGAGACATCCATCAGGATCTGGCAGAGGAATCATTTTCCAGGCAAGAAGAAAGATTTTCCAGAGTGTGATTGCTCCTGAAGTCTGAGATCACGGTCTAGAGCCACCAGCAACATAGACACCGAAGTGGTCAGACATGGTTCCTCACCTCTCCTGCCCAGAGGATGCAAACTTGCCTGGGACTGTCTGAACCTGTAGATCACGTAACACAGGCCAAACCCACATGGACAGGCTATGGAAATCCTGGGTTTCCAGGTGTAAGGGTTCAGCACTTACAGCACAAGGGTTTTTCTCAGCCAGACTTCACTCTGAAGGAGGGCAGGTGTTACCGGCTTCATTCTCACACTGGAAGTGCATCCTTTAACTCACCCCTTCATGCTGTAATCACCACATAAATAATCCTCTATAAGCCCCCCTACTTGTAGGACTTGAATGGGTCATGTCTAGTAGTCAAGCGCTCACTGTGTTTCCGTAAAACAAYGCTGCTGATTTTTGCTACACGCTGTCCTAATCTAACATGTTTCACATGCAGCCTCACCCCTGAATTTCACTATCCCCACTGATTAGCAAGGTTAGCTGGACACTACAGTGTCCTCATGTGTCTGCCCACCCTCCCCAGGAACAGGACAGTCCCAGGAGGACCAATGTCAAAGTGAAGGGACAGTGTGTGGAGCGTTCCCACATACCCTTGTTCACTGCAACAGTGCCACGAAGCCACCTCATTCCTCTGATTTTCTCAGTCTGACTTAAAAAAAATATTCTTTGCACTCCACCTGGAATATGTGGTGCAGAAGGATGGAATATCCGTCCTTCAGGTAAAGAAGCAAAGTTACCAGTACTCGCATTCAGGTGACACATCATTTTCTGYCTTACCAGGTAATCATGTGCTGCTTCTCTCTCCTGCATCACTGTTGCTGGCTGCAGATTCATATCACAGCCCGGTTACACCATGATTCACCCCATAACCTGAGCCATTTTATAAACAGTGCCAGGCAGATGTATTGCAGATGTAAGTGCAATGAACAGCATCATCAGTATAAGCATTAGTGGTTCATGGTTGCGTGGGTTTTATGTGCATGACCTCGAGGAGAAGGCATGAGAGGCAATTTGGGTGTCTTTGCAATGGACACGTGCTTRTGCACAGAACACCCTGGGCCTACTGCATGCAGCCAAATTTCTGCATGGCAATAACCCCAGCAGGGAAAGATCTGCTGCAAAGACCCGACTCTGCAGTGACTCCTCAGTGCATTAGTGAAAGGAGGAGGAAGTTCTTTCAAAGCTAAACAGTTTTAATCCCTCTGCTGCTGATTTGCAGCTCTGTAAACATGGAGCCACAATCAGTTGCAGATGTACGAGCCCTGGGAAAAAYGAAGGCCTCCTCCAGGGCTCATTTGCAAACCTTGACACCTTCCATGGAATTGCATGGATTTTGTTTTTTCTACCTTGTTAACTCCTGCCCACCAACGTCCTGCAGAGGCAGAATTGCAGTCCCTGTGTTACCTGTTGATCAAAGGYACCTCCAGGCATAAAGCACAAACACCCATCCCACAAAACCTCCCCACTGGGAGCTGACCCCAAGGAGCCACCCCCGTTCAAGCAGCTGCTCGCTGTGGATCTTTGCCGTCACCCTCAGCCCGCTGGCAGCAGAGCAGCTCGGCCACGAGCTGGTTATTTTGGTCCRGGGAAAGGGCCGGTGTTTTGGAGCAGACAGCTCTGATTTCTCTTTGGGCGGCTGCTGCTTCTGAAATATCAGCGCCTGCAGCCAGAGGCTCAGCAAAGGACACGTGTCCAGTRCTGACAAATCGACCAGCCTGGTTGCCCACCTACATGTGAGCACACGTGTGGCCTCTTTTATTTATATATATATATATGTATGTATGTATGTATATATATATTTTTTTCATTTTTCTGATTGTAGAAAGTTGAGCCGCAGTCCAACTTGTTCYCACCGTGGGTACAATCCCATGACCGACGGCTGCAGCTCCCCAGCCACACTGCATTAAAACCCAGTTCTCTAGCACTAATTTCTGTGTCTCCTGGGCCCAAACCTGGCCCAGGCTTGGCCTGGCCCATCTGGCAAGCCCAGCTCCAGAGCGTATCCCATCGCTGCAAGGAGCTGCCTTAAGGTCACCTGCAAATCCCTGAGGATTTGCTTGGCTCCTGGGACCCGCACGTGGCCTTGCCACTGCATTCCTGTCCTTGGGAGCTGCTAGGTGCTTGAATCCCTTAAGAAACACAGGGCTCTTGCCAACCATTAATTTGTAGCTCAAGGCACTTTCACAGGTTAAAAAATAGCCATTGCCACACAAAAAAGGGGCAGGAGCTGGGTGAAAAGAAAGSTTGGGCTGTGCCCCTGGCCTAAGTGCTTTTGGGGGAGGATATTTTAGTGTTTGGGGCTTTTTTTTTTTTTTTTGCATATGTTTATTATATATATTCATATATATAAAACACTATATAAAAATACTGAAATACTAATTTTAGTATTACTAATACTAATACTAGTAAAAATACTATATATAAGCCAAGCTATAAATAAAAGCGTTAGGAACATAAAAGCATGCATACACAAAGCATTACACACGGGAAAAATATTATGCATATAGTAGACATATACAAAATGTTACAGACACAGGAAATATTCCACATATATAAAACATTCTACACATAACAAATAACATAGTAGAATATTGCATATATAAAACAAAATATTATAGACCTATGAAACAAAACATTCCAAATAAAATATTATACAACACACAGATCAATATATTCACAGAATCACAGAATCACAGAATTCTGTTTTTTGTTTTTTCTACCTTGTTTCATGTGTATTATTCGTGTGGGCAGGAGTTAACAAGGTAGAAAAAACAAAATTGTGTTTCATGTGTATTATCTACATATTTTATAAACAAAAGGTGAAATCATTACATACAATCAGGTAAAACATATTAAGGTGTTCAAATACCCATATGAATATGTGTAGATGTGTATGCGCATGTGTATACATGTGCGATGCATATGGGTATTTACCGGTGAACGTTACCGTATTTACCGGTGAACGTTACCGTATTTACCGGTGGACGCTACCGTATTTACCGGTGGATGCTACCGTATTTACGGGTGGATGCTACCGTATTTACCGGCCAGCGTTACCACGCGCGGCGCGGGCCGCTCGGCGGGGGCGGGCGCGGGGCGGGCGGGTAAACACGGCCACGTGCGGCGGCGGGGCCGGGCCGCGCGGCGCTTCCGGCAACACGGCGCGGGCCGCCGCATAAATAGGGCGGCGCGGCGGGGCGGCCGCAGCTCCGCCGCCGCTCCGATCTGTCCTGCGCACGCAGCCGCCGCCATGCCGTTCCTGGGGCAGGACTGGCGCTCGCCCGGGCAGAGCTGGGTCAAGACGGCCGACGGATGGACGCGCTTCCTCGACGAGAAGAGCGGCGGCTACGTGGGCGACCTCAGCAGGTAGCGCGGCGCACGGGGGGAGCGCCCCGAGATGGAGGGGGGAGCGCCCCAAGATGGAGGCGCCCCCCAAGATGGAGGGGGGAGCGCCCCAAGATGGAGGCGCCCCCCAAGATGGAGGGGGGAGCGCCCCAAGATGGAGGCGCCCCCGGCTGAGGGGCATCGCGGGGCGGCTGTTTTTGCCCCTCGGGCAGGGCTGCCCCCGGAGCGGCTCTGGGCAGTTGTGGGGCTGGTTTTTACCCCTGTGGGGCCGGTTTGTTGTGGTGGGTGCCCCACGGCCGTGTGGGTGTTGCCGTCCTGTGCTGTGGCTGTGGGACAGATGTGCTGATGTTGAGGGAGAACTGCTGCTTGCTGTGACCTGTGGTGCTCTGGCTTGAGGTGTAAGTGGGAGGATAAAACAACTGGTGGCCAAGTCCTATGGAGCGGGATCTCCTCCTGTGCTCCTTCCTGGCTCCTTCATGTGCTTTTTCTGTCATTATTTGAAGCTTACAAAGCCTCTTRGGCTGTGCAGGTGTGTTCTGGGGACACACCTCCCTTAGGAGAACCTGCCCCCATGAAACTGGGACAGCAAAATGCCTTATTTACTTGGGAGAGGTTGTGATATCTGCCCCTGGGTCCTCTGCTTGTATCCATGGGCCAGTGTCATTCCCAGTGTTGTGGGGTGGGATGGGGCTTGTGCTGTGTGGCCATCCCAGACCCTTCTCTAAAGGGTCCCTAAACTGTGTTGGTTGGGGCTGCTCATCCACCCTGCCATCCTGTGCCCGCCTTGGGGGTTAGATCTGCTCAGGGCAGGGCTGTYTGTGGGGAGGAGGTGCCCACCGAGCCGGCCGGAGCTGAAGTGTCACCTCTYGGGTGAAATCTGGGTCTCAGCAGCCTCTCGCAACCCTGCAACTGACTGAATCACACGGTGCTGTGCTGTAAAGCACCTATGAGTCATCAGCTGGCATCTGTGTGCCAGTAAATAAGTGCACACATGGCTTGTGTTCCCTGCTGGTGGGGGATTAGCAGGGTATGGGGCTGGTAAGTGCTTTGGAGTTGATTTTCCTGCTTTACCTACGTGGCTCCCTATAGGTGCTGTGCAGAGCTCTGCTTGTGYGTATGGAGCTGTGGGCTGTGCTGCTCTAGCTGTAACCAGGAGTCCTCTACAAAAATAGAGCTGCAGAGCTCTCTGTAATGCGGGTCTGCGAGGGGGAGGCTTGTTGTGATGTGCTGCAATTCAGAAGTAGGCTGGGCAGCAACAGCCCTTTCCTGATGCTGTTTGTGTTGAAGAAAGTCAAAGCAGTTGCTGCCCCTCGGCCTCAGGAATGTGCCCTTAAGGAGTGTCGCTGGATCTGGCCCACTGCCACCTTCACTGGGAAGCATCTGTGGTTTTCCTCCTTTTCCAGATGCAAATGCTTTCTTAGGCACCCTAGCTCAGGCATTAAGAGGAATCTGGTATGTCCAGAGCCATAAATCTTTCCCAGGCAATAGATAACATAATATGTGAAGCTTGATCATCCTGCAGAAGAAAGACTCCCTAGATTAACTCCCTAGTACTGTGTAGTTAAGGGCTGGAAGTCCTTGTTACAGCACAGATGATCTCTGACCAGATCCCTCCYGTCAAAACCAAGCTCTGCCTGCAGAGCTGCATCTTTCCAGCTCTGCACAGTGAGGTTGGGATAGGCTGGATCCGGGCTGAGATGAAACAGGAACATATGYGAGAGAGGCGACTTAGGGTGAAGGGGATCCTGCTGTGAATTGCACAAATGAGATCCTGCTGTGCAGACAAGTTCAGGTAGCAGCTCTATCTCTTGCCCTCTTTTTTTGCAAACTTGAAAAATRCAGTTGTGCATCTAAAGCATCTGTTCTGTAAGTAAGTAGAAGAATGTCTGCATAGGTTGTGCCTGAGCTCAGAACATTGAGCTTGGCATGGGTTTTTACATCCTATTTCCTACTAAAAAGTGAGGAGGTGAGACAGCACTCTGGGATCAAGAGCCTCCAACTGCCAGGTTCTGATGCCCAACTGTTTGACCTGTCAAGATGCCTTGGAGAAGCATGTGGAAAATTGGCAGTACATAAACAAGAACCAATCTGCCTCCCATCCTGGAATTCATCCACTGCTGTTAGGAAGGTTTCACATTACGGAGTCATTCAGAAGGAAGTCAGCAGTGGAGTGGGCTGTTGACATGTAAGATATAAAGCAGGTCTGTCCCATGCTCTTGTGATTCTGCCTTGTCATTGGGACTGTTAATTAACCTGGGCAACTAACCTGACTTTGTGCAGCTTTGTTAAAATGTGAACTTGAACCATTCAACAWGTCTTTCACGCTGCCGTATTCTGACTTGCAGTGGTTTTGGCCACAGGTGAGATGATGTCCCTCAGCAGTGGGAGAAGTGAGGAGCCTCGTGCTGCAGGCTTCATTGCTCTGCAGGAGCCTGTGSTGAGCAGCTGCTGAGGGAGGTGGCTGCACGGTGCTCGTGTTATTTTTGAGGCTAAACACCACAGGCTGTAGCCCTGCAGAGAGGAAGCAGCCTGGCCACATCAGGTCGTTGCGGAGGAGACTGCTCGTGTGCACAGCTCTTCTCACAGGAAGCTGAGTGCCTTGAGAAGCAGCATGTGTGGGACCTGCCTGAGCTCCAGATGCACCACAGKGTTAATGCTGCTGTAGCAGCTGCTGGGGATACTAAGGGGCACTTGGGATGTTTCTTCCAACTYGGATACACTGCTACAGTGTCCCCTTCTCTTGCAAGCTGCTGAAGCAGGAGAGACTTGTCCTCCTGGGTGCACTGTGAGTCTTATCCCCAGCACTGAAGTGTCCCTGCTGCTCTCAGCCATCTGCCAGGGCCTCTCACTAAAGCCTGAGAGCCCCTGGAGGGGCTGCCTTCGCCTCTGCCACCCACGGGCACGTGGGCAGCAGCAGTGGGGCTGCCCAGGATGTCTTGGTTTCACATTGCTGCTCAGATCTGCTGATTTGGAGGTTTGCAGAACATGACCGGCCTGATACACAGCTTCTTTGTAAATAGTCTTATGTTCCTTTCAAAGAAAAAAGTGGAACTTACAGCTTGTTCACATAATACAGTTAAAGCAGAGCTCCAGAAAATATAGCAGACAAGCATTGTCTTGGTCMGCTTTAGTGCAAGTGGTCACTCACATGTGGAGCTGGGAAAGCCACCAGCCAAATGTGATCCTCAGCTGAGCTTAAAAAGCTCAAAAGAAGTTTAAAAAGCTAGTGATATAGTGAGTATTAATAAGTAATCTGAATACGCACATGCCTACAGCAGTGTGTAAATATGTCCTTGCATGGAAGTCCCTCTGGCTCAGAGGGATCTTCCACCTACAGGAGGAAGAAATTGTTGCCACAAACATGTTAAAGGGAGGACAAAAATCGTGTTAAAAAGTGTGCTAGAGCTAACTGCGTTTTCTGTTACCAGTTCTGTATATATTAAGTAGTGCAGATTCAGGGCATTGGAAGGTCATATAGCAGCCCTGCTGAATGGTAAAACTTTATTCACACTTTTAGAGTAGGGGTGACTCTGGTTTACAGTGCAAACCTGTGTGTTGTCTCCTTACAGGAACCGGTGTGCAGTGGACATGAGAAATAAACAGAAACTTTGCTTTGTGTCTCTTGCAGCTTTTGTAAGAAGGAAGATCACAACAAAGAGAATCTCTTCAACAGCCTGAACTATGATGTTGCTGCCAAGAAGAGGAAAAAAGATCTGCTGAATAACAAAGCCAAGATTCAGTGTAAGATGGCTGTGKTGTTGTTTTAAGTTGCAGGAGAAGAATGGAAAACACTTCAGATCTATGGGTTTTTGCAGAGCACTTGAGAACCCTTCCAGAGTATCTTGAAGGGCTTTGTGCCCATGTTTGACTGAAGTACAAAACTTGGCTGGAGTTTCATGTGAAGATTTATGCCCCTGTTAGTAATCACTGCTTTGAGGAGCTGTGCTTGTGTTCAAACTTTTGTCATTTATATTTGTCAGAGGAGGGTAATTTTTTCCTATGGTACATTCAAATGAACCCATTCCAGTTTTTCCCCTGAAGACTTCCTATGTTTAACAGACCAGACTTATTCTTCCTTCCATATGCATGTTGAGTACAAATAATAGTACTGGAGGCTGTGAGCCTGAACGTGAGCTTAGATCCCATCTGTGCAGAGTGCCTGAAAAGGAAGGTTTGATCTTGCTCAAAACAATGTCTGAGACTTCTCTGTACTCAGCAAGCAGCCAGGGTCCTGGTGGGTGCTCTCTGGGATGATTTGTGGGAGCCCCAGGAACAGCAAGGTCTGTAAGATAGATGCCCACGTTAATAGAGATGAGGGCTACAAATGTAAACATCCACAGAGGAAATGGGTTATGATTCCCACACTAGTATTAGCTCACTGTACCTCCCCCAGGGTTTCGGGAACTGCTGCCGGAATCTGGCCCCTCTGTGCATGTGGTTCACTCAGTGAGAAAACAAATGTCACCAGGACAGTTCCTGGCTGGACTGTGACTTGACCTCACTAGTTTAAAGGGCCCTGATGGAGGAGCTGCATGTCTGTAACTGGCTTCAGTCCCTGTGCTCCCTTGCACAAGTTCATCTCACTGCCTCTATAGCAGGAAAAAGGACTGCAGGAGCACAGTGCCTCCTCTGAGAGTCTTCCAGGATGGGAAAGAATTGCATTTTCTTGCTAGCTGATGAATTGCTAGGGTAGAGTGAAGCATGTGAGACTGGAGTAGAAAAGAATTGAGCAAAATAAAACTGTCACAGAAAGGACAAACTGTGCATGTGTTGTGTGTAGGGAAGTTATTTTGGGAAGTGGATGGGACTAACTCCTTCCTGGGGAGGGGGAGGAGTTAGAAATAAGGAAAACTTTTGATCCCAAGTAGGTGTTTTTAGAAGGTTTGTTAAGCACAAGCCTCCCTGAGCCTGACCTCACTGCTAAAAGCTCTCCCACGTGCCTGGTATCTCATGACATTTTTGCTCAACTTCAGTTTTGCCATTCAATGCCAAGCCTGTAACCAAGGTAATGAATAGTTAAAATCAATAACAGCACAACCTGGCTGTCAGCCACACTCCCTGTCTGGGGCCGGAGATGAGGAGATGCTATAGGATGTCTGCAGCTGACAGATTAAACATTTAAGCTGCATCACTGTAACAAAACCTCTCTAAGGCTCAGGGCCACTGTCTCAGCTTAAGCCCTATGGAAACAAAGTAGTTCACCTATTGCTAGTTTTTTGGGTACAGAGGTGTAAACACAAAAAACTTTAGTGGCACTAAAGGGGCAGTGATAATGTGTGAGCAGAACAGAGATCCAGCCTTTTGCAAAGAGATAACTGAGCAAAATATCTTTGTCTAAACAGATTTCCACCAAGAGAAGTGGATCTATGTTCACAAGGGAAGCACAAAAGAGGTAAGTGCTGGTGTAGACCATCTTTGCTCCTTCTTCCTACTGTTTCTTTCCAAGCGGTGGAAGATCCTAGGCTGTTAAAAATCAGCTGAGGCTCTTGAGATAAATGGAAGATGGGGCTTGTGGCTGGAATCACAGTAATGATTTTAAGCCCTAATTGGGAGCCAGGACTTGCTGTGCAAGGCTCTGTACATGTGTTTAAAATATGACTTGTTTGCTTTCCACTGTTTAAAAAAAGAAAGCCACTGAGCCACTGCAGACCAAGCCATAAGACTGTTCTTGGCATTTGCCCAGCACCATCCTGACATGGAAAACCATTGGAATCCATCACAATGGCTCAGTCGCCTCACGGAGAGAAGCAGCCTGAAGAAGCCGCTCTTCATGAGCTTGCACTATATGTTGAGCCCTAGGAATGTGCTGGCTTGTTGGGCCTCATAAATTCCGGAGGGATGGAGCTGAGCTCTCTAAGGGCCGTAAACAGAGCTTGGCTCACTTTTGGGAAACAACCCCAGCCTTGCCTGGGCTCGGGGGTGACGTCAGTAAGTGCAGTTGCATGGGAGACGCTCCCTCCCACTGTGAGCAAGTCCCATGCCTCGTGCCTCTGAGCTTGCTAAATAGGGTTGCCCTGGGTCACGTCTCCCTGGGCCTGTCTGTACTTCTGGGCACCAAAATATGACCCAGCTTTTTTTCTTCTCAGCGTCATGGGTACTGCACCTTGGGAGAAGCTTTCAACAGACTTGACTTCTCGAGCGCCATCCTAGACTCCAGACGATTCAACTATGTTGTGAGGGTGAGTGTAAGCAGGGATTTATTTTGTTGTGGTGTTGGAGACTAAAATGGTCACAAGTTTGTAATGGGAAGCACTCGTCAAGTGTGGTCCGAACTGGAGTGTGGGAGGTGTTTAGCTTTATGATTAAAGTAATGGATAGAAGTCTTACAGCTGCATCCTGAAGATGAATCTGTCCTAATTCTGGATGTGTTAAATGGAGAGGCTGGGAACTGGTGATGATGTAGTTGACTTGTCCTTATTCTTGCATTCCTGGTTGTGAAGTTTGAAAAAGCAAAAACAGAAGTTACTGTTCTGTTTTCCACAGAAGTTACTGTTCTGTTTTCCACATTTCTCAGTGGAGCTTCTAAGTGCAATTCCTGCAGTCCCAAAAGGAGGATCTCTACCTACAGAGGCTCTGCAGAGGCTGTAGTACATAGGGGCTGGCTTTGCTCGCAAGCAGAGATACCAGTGTGGCTTTGAGTGTCATGAGATTTGCCACCTGTGTGATACAGTGATACAGGAGGACCTTGGAAGCCAAGTGTGCAGTAATTCCCCTGATCTGATCTTCTGTCAAGGGTCATGATCACTCTAAATATTGACTGGTAGTGGGAGAAGTATTTGGTTAGCTTGACAGCTGGTAGGATGAGTTGTAAGAACCCAGCTTCTGTGAGGGTTYCCCAAGCTGTGTCTTTGCATAACACCTTGGGGCTCTGCATCCAGCCAAGGATGCTCCCCAGGTGATAGTTTTCACAGGTGTTTGTTACCCAGACAGGTCTGAGGCTGCTAGTTGTTTCTGTACATGTGATCTGCAAATGGATCTCAGATTTCAGAATGCTTTTCAAGGCTTGGAATTCAATAAGTTAAAAATCTGTTAGTGACTTGAGGCTGGCTATAAAGGGCTCCTTTTCGCATCTCATCAGCAGTTAATCACTGGTGAGGCACCAGCTGTTTAGGTTTTAGGTTCTGGAGCAGGCAATGTGGGTATTGCTTTCCCTGGGCTGAGTCAAATGTCATGAAAAGTCTGTGAAGAGATGAGGAAAAGAGATCTGAGCAGGTTCAGCTCRGTTTGCTGCCCTCGACTGTTGTCTAGGCCCTCTGTTGTGGGCACAGGCCTCCTGGGTGATTGGTCTGCTGTGTGGAATGGGCACTGGGAATAGCTTGGAAGTGCTGTGGGTGGGCAGGAGGGAGTGGGGATGCTGTAGGAGGTAAAGCAGGATACCAGCCCACRGAGATTTGGGCTTCCCTCGCTCTGGAACAACTTGTCTTCCTGCTTGCCTAGGAAAGATGGTCATCGGGCCTGCGGCACTTAGTGTTTACTGATACTGGGTATGTATATTTGCAGCTTTGTCATTTTTAGGGGGGTTATTTTAGGAAGTAACAGCTCTAAAAGGCTCTAACTCTTTGTTTCAAAGTAATACCTATAAAAAGGCTATTGCTCCCCTTATATTTGATAATTTATCAAATAGAACTTGTATTTGGCCCTGCAGAATTTTCTTGGCATTTTTGTCCTGGTCCAAAGGTGGATGATCTGCCAGAAGCCTTGGATTGCTCTGGCGTTTGCACAGCCCATTATTCTGCCTGACTCTCAGATGTAGTGGGTGCCTTGTGCAGCAGTGCAAGGATCAGGCAACATTCCTGTTGAATGTTTTTGAGGAGCAGACTTGGATTGCCATCAAGCTAGTGAAGGGGAAGCTCTTAAATTTTAACTCACCCCCTTTTTTTCCCCTCTGAAGACCAGTGTAAAAGAACAGGAGAAGGCTGGAAATCAAGGTTCAATATAAAAGTTATCTTCATAACAAAAYGATTACTGAGATCTCAGCCTGGCCTTTCCTCCTCGGCAAGTTTGAGCAATGTTGTTTAAGGACTTCCAAAGAAGAGAGAAAATGGGTAGTTCTCAGTTTCTGCCTTATTGCTCCCTGCTGTGTTATCAAAAGTAGCAAGATACTGTAGGAAAGTGACCTGTACCCCTGGTTCAGCTTACCCCTCTGCTCCCCATTCTCCCCACCCCACTGTAGTTTTAAGCTGGAGTATGGAGCTTTGTGACTGGGACTGCCTTGTGTGGCTTGGCAGAAAAAGGAGATACTAAACCTGGTACTGTGGAGCAAATGTAAAACTGACTACTTAAATGAACAGGTTGTATCAGCCAAGTCTCGGGGGAATAGTGGCTCATAAAATACGTGGTGCTGGATTTGCTCATGAAAAGCTCTGCCTTGGTGTCAATCTTGTTTATGGGCCCTTGCAAATCACAGGCCTCCTGGAGAACACGGATGCGTCACATGGAAAATGCCTTGAATATTAGCACACAATTTCTTTCCCTCCCTCTTTGTTCCCTAGTTCCACAAGACTGCTCGGAGTGTCTGATCAATGTCATTSTATTTAGTCTGCAAACAGTCTTCCAAGAAGGCAGGGAGAAAATAGGAKGACAATTGAGAAAGAAGGGATACAAACAGGCTAATGATTCTGCTGCTTGCACCCACCCTTTCTGTATAGAAATTAAGGCTAGCAATACATTGCCTCTAACAAAATGGGTTTTCAGGCTGAGCAGTTGGGCCATGCAGAGCCTTTCTTGTGGCATTACCCAGAGCAGAGTTAAACATAAGCCTGAGTGATTTCAGGGCTGTTTTTCTTTCCTATAGTACAGAAGTGTCTGTTTTATGAGATATTCCCAAACAAGCTTCTTAAATTCCAGCAGTGCCCATTCCACTATGAAAAGGGGCAACTTTTTGAGGTAGAGGTATAAATGGCAAGACATTAGTGTTTTACAAGCAAATACGAGCTATATATTTGTATAGCTGTATATTTACAAGCTATAGCCACTGAGTTCATGCAACTGAAGTGGAAGAGAAATTYCTCTCGACATGAATCTTGTCTTGGTGGCATGCTGACAGAGCACCCAAATTGCTAAGCAGGGGTATTAGTACTTCAGTTTGGTCTTTGCTGATTGCTYTAGCTGTAGCCTCTGCCCGTGTGTTAGAGGAAAGTGTTCCAATTTAGAGCTGATTACTCGGTTGTAGTTTGAGCTGGGAGGATCCAGTGTGTTCTCAGTCTTGAAAGAGTTCTACTTTCTCTGCTGTTAAAAGTTTTAAAGACCAGAAATGTGCTGTGAACATAAGCAAGATGAGCACAGATATAAAAGTAGCTAGCTAGCCCCAGGCTCTTGGTTCCCTCTGTGCTCAGATGACAGGTGAGCTCTTGCAGGCTGCTCCTTTCAGGAGGATTTGTCCCATGGTGGCTGTGTAGCAACATCTCACCAGGGCAGGCCCTGTTCCTGCTCCTAGAAGCTTTCGTCAAATTAAGGTGCAAGGCACTGCTCTCCTGGGATACTGTGATCTAGGCAGTGAACAGCCTGCTAAAGTCAGCTCTTAAGTTTAAGCTTCTGTTGCCCCTTAGTTGTGGAGTCCTGGCTCTTTGCTGTGCTGAAAGATGAGCAGCTCTGTGCTGTCTTGGGTCAGCACCTTCACCATGAGTCACCAACTCAGCTGCAAGAGAACAGCAGCAGAAAAGCTGGTAGGMCTTGGGCCACAAGGCGCTGGGGCCCTGTGAGTGCAGAGGGGCTTGGGAGGGGATTTTCACTGCAAGAAGCTTCTCTTGGCAGTTTAGATACAGATACAAAGAGTATCCAGATCCCCACCTGGAAGGAGCTCATGGCTTCATGCAGAAGGCAGCCCAGGTTACCYGCATGCACGTAGACAAATGTGCAGTTTGACTTTAGCAGTTTGAGATTTGTGCTTTTTATCACTTTACAGCAAGTGCCCTTGGAGACGTGGCCATCCCTGCTGCAGAAGGGCTCGTGTGGCTCCATGTGCTGAGGGGGAATGTGCATCTGCAGGGAAGGGAGCTGGGCTTTGCTCGCTGCTCCCTGCCTGCTTTGTAGAGGCTCTGCAGTGACTCGGAGCATCCCAGCTTGTCTSTGCTCCTTGGCAGCCCCCTGGGAATAAACAAAATACAGGCAAGAAAGTAAGAAAGGTTCTTTGGGAAGAACTATCAGGTCACTCTTTTCCCCCACTCTTGTGAACAGTACGAAGACTTAGGATTTCATGCCCTATATTCATGAGATGTAGGGCTCCCAGCTCCACAGCAGCTGGAATGCAATTACTTGGCATTTTTGAAAGGCCTTTTACAATTCCTGCTAACCTTTCCCTCGGCGCTCGCTGCTCCCATCTGTCCCTCTCAGTCAAGCACAGGCTGCAAGYGCCCCGTACCGCAGCGTGTCTGCAGCTCCCCAGCCCTTTTACCCTGCTTAGCATTAATCTGCATTCAGCAGTCTGCTGCAGATGCCAACACTRCCTTTTTATAACCCCTAGAGACCCAAATTTAGCTGTCTGTTCAATGCGAGCCCCTACCCTGGCCTTGTCAGCACTAACAAATCTTGGGTGCGTTGCGGGGCTTGGGGCCACGTGGCTTTGAGCCTGAGTGACCCCTGTCTCTCGCTGGTTCTGCGTGTCTCAGGTATGAGCACATGAGAATAAAAAGGGGTGTTTTGGTGTGCAAGGTTAGCCACCCATTTCAGCCAGCAGCCCCCAGGGAGTGGAGCAGCCCTAGAAATATTCAYAGCATAGTTCCCATCTGGAATTTCACCCTGGGTTTGTGGCTGCAGGGGAAGGGAGGTGACACGACATCTGAGCTGCTTCACTGGATGTAAATTGAACCTTCATAAACACAAGCGGGACAAATTTTAATCTTTTCTTGGGTACTTAATTGACTTGAGTAACTTAATTTGATGTTAATTGAACATTTTTCAGAATTGTTATCCTTGTTCCTCCTAAAGAATGGCCCTAGCATCTAGTTTTTGTGGTATTGCCTTGYCTGGTGCTTATCCTTTGGGAGCAGTTTAGTGCTGTTTGTGATGGGCACCGTGTTGCTGCCGGCCTGTCTGCAGGAAGAGGCCTCCCCATCCCGTCTGGAACAGTAGCAGCTCTGAGCACAGAAGAGCTCATCTGGGTGCACGTGTGGCTGCTGTGCAGCTGGAGTGGGCAAGCTGCTTGTGATGACCAAAAATCTCGTGGTTGAGTCTGAGCAGAGCCTTGCAGAGACTTCTTTGTGCACTTATGTTTTTCTACTTTTTTATGCTTTTGGTATTCATGAAAAGAGCCAAAACCTTCTTATTTTTCCAAGTACCTTGGGAATTGCCTTGTGCTGAGGAAAGCCTAGTCCTTGTGGCTTCTCTTTAGTTAAGAGGCATCAGTAGGTGCTCTTGCTGCTTCCAGCAAATACTCTCCTGTATATCTTCCCCAAAACAGTGAGCCAAGAAAATGGGCTGCTCACCCTTTACAGGAGTGTTCATGTAGGTTTTTGTTTTAATCTTGTTGTTTTCTCCAGTCATATGAGGTGCAGGTTATTAATAGAACGTAAACTCCAAGAAATCTGATGTTGTTGGTCTGGAAAGTAAATGGCAGAGGAGATGGGGCTCGGCAGCCCCACTGCTCCTAGCCTGCAGTCACAGGCTGGTGCCCAGGACCWGGCCTTGCAACAAACCTCTTCTCTGAGCAACCTGCCTCCTGGCAAGCAGCCCGTAACTGTATGGCTGCATTCCTGTCATTCTTAAAAGAGGGCAAACAGGTCAACTGAGGACTTATCAACTCTTGTCAAACCCCATCTTAGTTACTTGACACAAGTACTTGCACCTTCTCTGTACCCACCGTGGGTGCCAGCAAAAGGATACCAGAGCTACGGATGATAAAGGATTAATAAGCTGGTCATGYGGTCGTGTGTTGATTGATTGGTAGCATAAAAGGTTTTCCCTTTCCCTTCTAAATTAGAACAGAAGGGTATGTACATCCAAAACAAATGGAATAACATGTGGACAGTCTGTGTATTTATATAATGTTGGGGGAAGGGAGAAAGGCTTGGATGATCACAGAGCACGTGTGCTCAGGATATGGTCCAGGGAAAACTTCTGTGGCTGCTCTGGCGGCCTGAAGCTGGGGAGAGGGCATCTTCCCCCTGGGAAACGCTGCCCTGTTGGGCAAGGAGCAGGACCTGAGCTGAAGATCCTTGATGGAGAGGAAATCATTAACTGAAAGTAGAAGTGAGACCTCCTTTGGGGAGGATTAGCAGGCAAACAAGGACCAGCAGGGAAGGGTGAATACTTTGGTATTGTTCAAGTTGCAACAGCCAAACAGAGGGAGAAATCTTGGGAGAATCAGATTTTTCTTTAGGGGTTTCAGACTGTTTTTAAATGCAGTCCTTAACCTTTCAGTATTGGTGACAGTGCCTTGACAAAGCCCAGGCAACCAGCGAGTGTGACGTAAATTGAGGAGTCTGATTCTCATTAGTGCCCCCCCCCGTTACCTCCCCATCCGAAGGGGAATCTGCTCGTGTCCCTCCGGCCGCCGCCTGTTCATGCAGCGGGACGGTGACGTCTGCCACTCGCTGTCCTCGGTGTGAACAGGCGCTGTGAGCCCRAGCGCTGCCCTGTGGTTCCCCTGTGTCTCTGAGCCAGGAAATAGAGGTTCTCCCTCAAGAGCAGCAGAAATGCCTCTTATTCCCACCCTCCCCTTGCAATGTGGGTTTAATTATTTAGYGTCTGCTCTCTCTCCCCTTTGCACTGGCCTGTTCTGCGCCTGGGTCTAGTTTTTATTTTGAAGTAGCAAACAAGTATCYGAACTGTTTTGCTGTGTCACATGGCTAGGAGTCAGGATTAGAAATTTATCTCTCTGCTCTAAGCCTTGCAACTTCTATTTTTATCCACAGCTGTTGGAGCTGATAGCAAAGTCTCAGCTGACGTCACTGAGTGGCATTGCCCAGAAGAACTACATGAACATTTTGGAAAAAGTGGTGCAGAAAGGTAGGTGGAAACGCTAAGTTTAGGAGTGTTTGACTTAATGTGGTGTTACTGTTATGAACCACACCCTCAAGAATAGACAGGCAGTGCAAGATGAGGGGTGAAGAGGCACTGTCACGTGTTCCTGTAGTTTAATTCCACTTCTTCCTGAGTGAAGAACTAAGAGGGAAAGAGTGGGAGGACATGTCCATCTTCATGGGTGTTCAGGGGGCAAGTCCTCAGATTATTTCCCTTACAACACTCTGCAGACTGTTTAAAAATCCCTTTTCTAACTGCAGAAGTCTTGAGTTTCTGTCCTCAGGGCTGGCAGAGCTACAATCTCTGTTGCTCCCTGTCTCCAGTTTGCTTGTATTAAGTCCTGCCACCCCTTGGGAAATAGTGAGCTTGTCGRTTGGCCTCACCTCGTCTAGGCCTCCCAGTAAGGGCTGACTTAGAAACGGCAGCACCACACCTTGATACTAATGCCTGTTTATTGAGAACAACCTCATGGGGATGTGGACRGAGAAGGAGGTCCTGAGCAGAAGGTCCTTCCTCCTCCGGGTAAATGGAGGAGGAGCTGTGTATGGATGCCCTCTAATGTGTGAGGGCTTGAGAGGTTAAAGGTGGCTTATTTCCACTGGTTAGAAATGAGAAGTGCTGCAGAAAGGGCAAATATCTCATATGTTTATCCTGGGAGAGGATCTGCTAATCTGATCTGATATGGTTTAAAAAAGCCCAGGTTGGCATCTCTTGGGCAACTTCCACTTTTAACACTTTTTTTTCCTCCAAAGTCCTTGAAGATCAGCAGAACATCCGGCTAATAAGGGAGCTGCTGCAGACTCTCTACACATCCCTCTGCACCTTGGTCCAGCGGGTTGGCAAGTCTGTGCTGGTTGGGAACATCAACATGTGGGTGCACAGGATGGAGACTATTCTCCACTGGCAGCAGCAGCTGAACAACATTCAAATCACCAGGGTAAGCATGAACCTGAAGCCCGAAATAATGTGGTTCCTTCATGAAATCTTGTGTAGCAGCTCCCACCTGGGTGGCTGTATCCCACTGTGCTTCCAGTGTGAGCACAGAGTGCTGGGGAAGGAACTGGTGTTGCCAAAATGTTTTTCATTGCTCTTGGGTTCAAAATCACTGTTAATGGGTCAGATCCTCAGSCAGCTCAACACATCCAGTCTGGGATCAGACTAGGGCTGGTTGCAAATTCCCTTCACTTCTGTATGGCCCTGCAGTGCTGTGTGAACAGAGCTGGGCAGGAGATAATCTCCCTCTGCTGGGAAGTCTTCAGAGATCAGGCCTCAGCACAAAAAGTCAAATTGAAACCTCTTTCAAAAGTGTGATGTTTCCCTTAAAATAAGTTTAAAGGTAACAATTTATCTGTGAATTAAGTGCAAACTTCCATCCAGCTACATAATTAATACTTTCTGACTGAAAACACCAGTGATCCTRCCCATACTCCTACTGGCACTTGGCTGTTGCAGCCAGGCAAGTCCTGCTCTCACAATGTCTCTTTAGATGTCTGTGGGCATGAGCAAGAGACACTAGTTGATAAACTCCTAACCTGGCCTTTGTGTTTGAATCAAATCTGAACTTGGTCCACGTTACCTTCAGTGAATATTTGCCACCCCAGTTTCTAGATGAGTCTCCCCTGAGTATCTGAGCTCACATGTTGCCAAGAGGGGGTCTCTTGGACATGGGTGATGTTAAAATCTTCTCTCAGTGCTGCCCTGCGTGTTGCTGTGCCCCTCCAAGGAGTCACAAGCAGTGAAATGGAATGGGAAATTCTTATTTATCTTAAGCATGGCCTAAGGGAATATGAAAAGCACCTTTTCTTGCCTCCGAGTCCAGCAGAGGCATTTACTGAGGATCAAGCCATGAAGGATTATGGGAGGATTATATTTTCTGAGGATTATACCTGCTTTTATCACTCCTAAGTGTCTGGAGAGCACTAGGAAGTGACTTCTCACTCCTTCAGTGAGAGATTTGAGTGGCAAGTGGAAAACCCTGAAGAAAACGAACTATTGAGGCGCAGGGYGTCTGCAAGACCCATAAATGCAGTTCTGCCCCATCCTGCAGTGGCTGGGCATGCACTTAAGTAATATTAATGCATTTAAACCTACAAATGTGTCTGTTTTTAAGGGCTCCAAATGTAGAGCTTGCAAAAATGGAACTTTTTGCACTACAGAAGATGAATTCAGGTCAAGATAGAGGGTGGGGAAAAGCTGAGCTAAGAGGAGCWATGAGCACAGTTCTGTGTAGCCAGTTGCTGACAGTGAGTGACCTGGGAGCTTCTGGTATTTCTGAAGCAGGGAAAAATGTCTTGCAGCAGCCAAGACCTAAAACTTCAACAGAAAAAAAATCAACTTGCAAAATACTGAATAGCTGCTTTAAAAACCTCTGTCCGGAAAGTGACAGCAAAATGTTCTGCTCTGATCTAATCCCTGTTATTTCTCCAAAAAAAGTAATGTTTGAAAACTCCCGCAAAGGAGCGCTGAGGGAAAAGTAGCAGATAAGTCTCTGGCACRGATTCAGCAGACCTGCAAGGGTTTACTTCAGTCTCACTGATTTCTTCAATAATAAGACTTAAATAAAAGCTCCGTTGCTTGAAGCCAGAGCCTTATAGTTCAGCTTTGCTTGTTCTGCCCTGGGGAACTTCTCCTCTAAGCTTCCTGCCCTGGAGGGGTCTGTAGGAGAATAGAAAGGACAGCAGAGGGAAAGGGAGAGGAGTTGGAGGGGATCCAAGGCCTGCAGCTCAGTCCTGTCCCTGAATATCTCAGGGACTCAGGCTGCTGTGTGGAAAAGACTCAGCAGCTTCAGYATGGAAAAAATGTCCTCTGCTTCCCTATCTGATTTAGTTGGAAGACAGAGGCAGTGTTTTTGCCTGTGTTGTTAACAAGCATGGGGGGAGCTCTTTGTTTCATGAACAAACCTTGTTATGGAAATAGAAGTGAAATGGAAGTGAATTAGGAACTGCTGAAAAGCAGTGGATGGGGCTGGGAGATAAGAATAGGAGCCCTGTTGTTTGTGCTGAGATGATTAGGGAAAGGGCTCCCAGTGCCAGCCTTGAAATCCCCATGGTTGGTTTGGAACAAACCCCTCTGGAGAGGCTGGAGCCAACTTGTTCCTTCTGCAGCTCCTGGCCTCTCTGTTGCTCCTGCAGTCTGTGGCCCCTGGAGCAGTGGGGAAGGGGGGACAGTTCCTGTGCAGACACTCATGGTGCCCCTGAAGTTTCACATCCCATCAGGTGGGTGGCCCTGGGGCCATGTGATTAAAACCATCCCGTGTCCCGCAGGCTCCGGGTGCCGAGCGCAGGGCGGCTGGTGTGATTCCGCACCTTAAAATAGCAGCATCTCTGCCCGGGGTAAATGAGAAACTTGGCACATCTGTTGGACATTGTTCCTTCCCTGGGGCCAGTCCTAAAGGCTGCTGTTTGCCTTAATAAGGCTGGGGCTCTTGTGGGAACAGCGGGAACCTGGACTCTGGTTCTTGTTGATCCTTTGCTCTTGTCTGTGCCTTGGATTTCCCCGGAGCACAGGCCTTGCTCGCCTCCCGGGGTTGGTTTGTCCTGTTCCAGTGAGATGCTGGGATGACACAAGCTGAAACGCATGAAGAGAGTGAGATTCCCAGCAAGACACGCAAGAAGGTCCGAGCTGAGGAGCAGCAGTGACCTCTGTGAGACCCCTCTGTGGTTTACACCGTGTAGCTGTTGTCCGGCCGCAGGGAGAGCTGGCAGAGATGCTCTGGAAGCCCTGGATGTGGGAAGCATGGACAAGGGAAGGGAGCCTTGGGCTGTGGCTTAGCTTCCAAGGGTGGCTGCAGCACAAATAAACACGGCCTGCCTTGAAGATGGCTCAGATGCTGTCCTGGAGCAGAAGGTCGTTTCCCCTCCCTTCCAGAGGGAAGTGCTGCTTGCTTGGTGTGCAAGGAGTGGTAGTGATGAAGGTAGCAACTCCTACAAGCTCAAGTTGATCAGATCCTCAGCTTCCTCCAGCAGCTCAGTTTGCTTTTCCATTCTCTTTCAGCCTGCCTTTAAAGGAACTACTTTGACAGACCTGCCCTTGTGCTTGCAACTAAACATCATGCAGCGCCTGAGCGACGGCAGGGACCTCGTCAGCCTCGGCCAGGTGGCTCCCGACCTGCAGGTGCTCAGCGAAGACCGGCTGCTGTGGAAGAAGCTCTGCCAGTACCACTTCACAGACCGACAGGTACAGCCGGCGCTGCGGGGCCCCTCGGCGCCTGTTGGTGTCCGCCTGTGAATGAGCGCCTGTAGCTGCCCGTTCTTGTTTGGCTGCCTGCTGGATCTGAGGGCTGGGCTGTAAGCTGATGCTGCAGGTTGGCAGGAGAACAGTCATGGATCTCTGCTGAGAGGGGGCTGGATTGCCACAGCAGCAGCTTCTGAAATGGGAACCTGAGACGTGAGTCACACGGCGCGTCCAGCCCTGCTGCAGGTGGTGCCTGCAGGTCATGGCTGCTCGGCCACGTGTGTGGGGAACACGTGGAGCCTCCAGCAGGAACCAGGAGCCCTTGGGGCTACTGCTGTTGTGGGCAGTCTGTGTACGTGGTCCAGGAGGAACGAGTCATTTCTGTTCAAATTCTGCACATTCAAATCCTGTCTCTGCAACCCTGGGAAGGGAAGCCCCCCAAAGCTCCTCAAGCTTCTTGAGCTGGAAACATGACAAATTATCAAGGCTGAGAGTCAGTGAAGGAGCAAAACAGCCTGAAACTGTTATTTATGAGGATACTTGTTATCCTGGCAGCCAGGAACTRCAGTGAGGGTGGTATGAAACAGCTCTTGAGGCTCCACAGAATGGTTGAGGTTGGAAGAGACCTCCAGAGTTCTAGTCCAACCCAGCAGGGACACCTAGTGCATGAGGCACAGGGTGACATCCAGGCGGGTTTGGAAGAATGGTCCTGTTATGGATGGATCAACCCCCAAACTGGGCATGTGTTTCAAGCTGCTGTGCAGTAACAGTTAAGGAATAGTTAGATTCTGATAATTGGTTTGTGTGAGGATGTTGCTGCAAGAAGCCCATGACAGTGGGACACTCAGAGCAGGACTTTCCTTCCTGTTATACAGAATCTGCTGTGGGATGAGGAAAGAACCCCAGTTGTACAAGAGAGCAAGACTTGGGAGAAACTGGGTGTGTRTGTGTGTGTGTGTGTAGTCACCAGCTACAAATCTGGGGTTTTGTCTTTCAGATCCGTAAACGGCTAATCTTATCTGACAAGGGACAGCTGGATTGGAAGAAGATGTACTTCAAACTCATAAGGTGTTACCCCCGGAGGGAGCAGTATGGTGACACGCTGCAGCTGTGCAGGCACTGCCACATCCTCTCCTGGAAGGTACGAGGGGGGCCAGAAAACCTGCTCAGGGCCGTGGAGCCCTTGGTGCTTCCTCTGCTTGGTCTGGGTGCTGCAATTCCTTTGTCTCCATAACCTGGTGCTTTCCTTAGCAGTGGTAGTAAGGCCCTTTCTCCTTGGCTGTGGAGATCCCACCTTCTTGTCCTTGGACAAGAGTAACTGCCACTGAGGCTGAAGAGAAAGGGGTAGATGAGTGTTCTGGAGTGCAGGACTGCCCACAGTAAAGAGCATCTCAGCACTGCTGCTGTTGCCACTTCCTACATGGGGATGGAGGCACTTGCAGCAGGATCAGCTCGGGACAGAGCTGGTGACTACGAAAAAGCCCTCAACAAAAGCCTGGTGGCTGCTTTGATATCCATGGCACGTGTCTGAATTTAAATTTCTGTAGCTGCTGGTAGACTCTGGTCTCAGAGCCCTCCAAAGAGGTAAAAGACCAAGCAGAATCTCTGCTGTTTTTATTTCCCTTTGCTTGACAGTAGCCCCTGGAGTCTGAAGCTTAGCTCTGCATTCTTTGGCAAGGATATAAACACTATTTTGGGCTCAGCTCTGTTTGCAAGCAGGATATTTGGCAGCAGGGCAGCGCTCGGTTGGCTGCTGCTGTGGTGCCCGTTCTGCAGTCTCTAAATGAAGCTGTTTGCTCCTTTCCCAGGGCACCGATCACCCCTGCACAGCCAACAACCCGGAGACTTGCTCCACTTCCCTGTCACCGCAGGACTTCATCAACTTGTTCAGGTTCTGAACTCGGGGCATCACGGCTTTGGCCACTCTTACAGGACACTTTATGCCACTGAGCTTGGACACTCCGTTTGTACATAATGTAAATATTCCTGTTTGGAGCTCCTGAGTCGAGGAAGAAGAGTGTCGTGGAGACGAAAGGTGAAATTACTCACTGATGTGCAACACTTAAGGAATAAAGACTTCCATAGGACTGGTGTTTAAATGCAGCATGTTGGACAGAGTCCCTTTTTTCTGATCAGAGTACAAGATACAGGGCAGAAACTTCCTTCTTGTTTTTAGAAGTTAAAACTGAATTTGTCCCGTGGCCCTTTGAGAACTTTCTTGATTTGTTTCTAAAAATTGAGAGAAAATAATGAGGCTAGGACTGTTGAACTCTTTCTCCATCTGGTTTTATTTAGCATACGTATTTATAAATATGATGTTTTAAAGGTATTTATGGAAAATATCCCTGTGACGAGTTTAATAATTTTATGTTTTTTTAAAGACACATTCTGAAATACTTAACATGGAACTCTAGCCTACTTAACAAAAGAATTGCACCATACCATTTTCTACCTCTACTAGATTGAGTACCTTTCAAGCAAAAATCCAGTGTACAATGTGAACTTTTGTATTTTGTACCACGATTTAAAGGGAAATGCTTGTGCTAGTAAGCATCTTTTCTTGCAGTAATGCTTACCTCTTTACACTAACTCTCTTGCTCTACTCAGTGCTTGAATGCCTAGATGATAGGCACCATGTGGATACCTAAGACTTTACTCCTTCCTCTTTTAATTGATTGGCTTTATGAAAGACTAAGCAAAAGGAAGAGAAGCCACAAGGATATGAAAAATACCCAAAAGGGAGGAAATCCTATTGCAGAGAAGTAAGGGACTGGATTTGATTTCAGTGTAAATTGATGGCAGCTCCACTAAGTTGCTTGCTTTGGTTGAGACCGCAAGTGGGACTAAAATCTGGTTCTTTGAGCCYGTCTGTTCTTTTTTCCAAACATGCCCTGCTCTCCATTCCCACTGCTGTCAAATTGAGTTTTCTGGCAGCTGGTGAAATGTCCGGAGCCGTGGACCTGGGCTGTTGACTCCAGGGAGGGGATGCAGTTGTCATCGCTGCAAGCCTGGCAGCCTCCTGTCTGCTCTCAGCCCCACGCAGCTCAGGGGAGCCTGGGAGGGCGGTTCAACCAGTCCGTGCTTTCCTTAAAACTGCACTCAGGACGGAGATGAGCAAGAGATTTCTGCCATGGTACTTGACATCTTCAGCTACTTGTGCACACCAAGGAGATGGAGAAGATGGCATAGCCTGTTCTCCTTCCAGTGCTGACAGCCGGGCTGGGACTTTCTCGCAGAGTTTCCTTGTCCTGTGAAGTAAGTGACCCTGTCCCTGCTTCACCAGGACGTGGGTTTGGTTTGTGGTCCCCTCTGCTGTGTGTTAATCTGCACTTCCCAATAAGCTGGAGCCAGGATACTCCAGCTATCCCACAGGGATCTGAACTCCCCATTGGGCAGTGTTTGCCATTAGCCAGTGGAGTTCCTGCCTGGCACCTTCTCGGTGCGCTAGATGAGCAGGATACCTCAGGAGGGTGAATGTTAGTGGCTTGTGTGGTACTGTGCACAGAGGACTGAGGAAGAGGAGTACTCAGGACAATTCAGGAAGAACTACTTGAGCTAATTATTGTTAAATATTCTGTTCCTTTTTTTACATTTTTATAACTGACTTTCAGCACTTTTCTGCAGCTACTATATATATAATTGACAGTATTTGCATTTTTGCAAACTAAATCACTTTGTGTACTCTTGGAGTAGATGCAAAAAGGGAAGAAGCCTTCTCTAGATGGAGCAGTGGGGAAGGGAGGTAGAAACTTTAGGAAGGGGAAAGCCAGGACAGACCTGACAAAGCTGCCATCCTGCTGTATTCCCAAAGCAAAGAACTTCTTTCTGCTGGAAAACTCTCTAGGAGCCACTGCTACTTCTCCCCATGGCAAAGAGCTTGACCCTGCCCAGGGAAAGGAAAAAACATGTTGGATGGGGAGCCTTCTCTGTCTGCATCTTGATGCCCTGTCAGCTTGATTGCTGGTGAAAAGCCTAAGGCTGCTGGTTATACTTGTGTCAACTGAAAGTGATTTAAAACTGTTATTTTATGAGGGAAAAAAAAAAATTTGTCTGTTTGGGGTGTTTCTTCCTGAGTGAAGGCAGCCAGTTTGTTGTCATTAACCCACTGACACCAGTGTGGAAATGAGGCTGAAACCTGGCATGGTGGGAAGGACGGGAACCTGCAAGTGAAGCATTGCTGCAGTTTGAGGATTTTGGTGGAGATTTCACTACTCGTAGCAGTGAGGGAAGAGGTGGGTGACGCTCTGTGTCTCCTGTCTCCAGCTCTGACTTTGGGCTCGGCTTTTTGTGCACCTCCTGTTGCCAGCCGTAGCGAGGCAGCTGCCTGTGCCTGGGGATGCAGTGGTACCTCCCTGAAACCATTAATGCTGGGGCATCTTCATCTGCTGTAGTCCGAGGTTTTAATGGGCAAATAATGTATGTACTGTGAGGTTGTGGCATTGGCTGGATTTAAGCTCAGGTTTAAATCTGGCCTCGTGGGCTCCCTGTGCAAGGAGACAGGTAATCCCAGCACTTGCCTGTGATTGGGSAATGTCTCCAAACCAAAGGCTCCAACCTCTGCCAGCCCCGGTCCTGAGCAGAGAGCYGAGTCTGACCTCTGCAAGGGTAATGCTGGCAGCAAGGGGCAGCAGGGGCTCCTCGTGAGCATTTATGTCATTTAGAGGTTTTTCTCCTCAATTTCTTGATGTCTGAAAAATCCTAAAGGGTCAAAGTGCTGAGGATTTTTCTTTGCACAGAGCAGCCCACCCTTGTTGCTCCTGCAGGACCCTGCAATGTTGCTGTCAGTGATCAGAGCAGCAGAAAACCGGGAAGCTGGTGAGTTCAAGAGCAAACCCCCCAGCAAGTCCTGCTAGGAAAAGCAATGGAATCTCCCCCGTGCAGTTACTGCCTTGGTCCCCTCCTGCTGCAGCAACAGTCAATAAGACYTCATGTTACCAGGGCTGGTACAGTGGTGAATTGAGTGCTGGTTTTTGTGTTAAAGCTGTTTTATTAAGTAACCTCTTAAAACCATGGGTACTTCAGCAGCACAAGGGAGCTGCCTGGCTTGCGGTGGCAGGGTCACAAATGCCCTGGGATATGGTGGCTCCCTAGGCAGGAAGGTGCCTGGAAAGCTCCTCTGCATGGAAAGCTCCTCCGTTTTAGGACGGCTCTGGCGTTGGGGCTGGGAAAGGGGGCTCTGACTTGGGCTTTGGCAGCATTGACAGGTCTTGGCAAGCAGCAGCTCATCCCTGAGCTTCAGGCTCCTTAATATCAACTGCGGGCTGGGCGGCTTGGAGTGTGTGYGCTCTTCCTGTATGGTTTGGGTTGCTTGTTTGTGGCAGAGTTTCTAGATGCTTTTATTTTATAAAGTGATTAGAAAAATTGTCTTTGCTCTTCGGACATGCTTTGTACGTGAGCATTTAACTGCCCCTCTCTGTATATGGGAAGATCTTTTTTTATTTTTGCCCCCAGGTTTTGACTTCTGCTGGTGACAGTTTGTGCTCCCATCCRTGTTTGGCTCTTGCAAAGCTCTGTCCTGCAACACGTGCAGGTGTGACCAGCTTTCCCTGCCCGAAAAACTCCTTAGCCTTTGGTAGCAGCACTTCAAATAGAGCAGGAACGCTCCATCCTGGCAAGGAGCTGATAAATTCCGTGTGCTGTTTCATGCCTCTCTTCAGGACAGCGAACCAGCCTTGCCCTCGGGCTGTTCTTACAGCCCCACTGCACAGGGTCCYGTGAATCAGCTCCTTGCCCCAAAAGCAGCTGCACATGAACCGTAGCCTCTCTGCAGGCGGCCTGGTGGGGAGAGCAGGGCCCCGGGGAGCCGAGGGCTGAGCGGTGCCAGGGCTGTCCCGGGCTGGCACTTGGGGCTCGCTCGGCTCCCGGGCACYGAGGGGGTCCCCGGGCACCCCCAGTGCTGCTCCCTGCCTCTCGGTACACGAGGCATCTCACTTGCAACCTGCATCTTCCTCATCAGTGAACAGGGCTTAGCTGGGCCCAGGTGGAGTAACTACCTTGACCCGATGCAGTCTGTTTTATTAATACCTTGAAGGCTGAAGGAACTTGCCCCTTGTTGGGCTGAGTGCCCTGGGAAGAGGTGATGAGGATGAGGAGGGCAGGGAGGTGGGACTTGTGTCTCTGGAGCTGCGCTGGGCTTTAAAGTGCCAACAGGTCGGCTGCAGAGAGGACTCTAATGTGAAGCAGCAGCCCTGCTAATTCTTAACCTACAGTCATGATAAACACCTGCTTCAACATGCAGGAGAGCTTGCGTTTTGTTTTTCCTTGGAGTTGTAACTAGATGGTATGAAGTGAAAGGCATCCCTTGTATAGTCAGACTTCTATTTAATATTATTGTGTGGTTAAAATCCTTCCATATAAATTTGCACTTTTCCTTTGCATGCTCAACTCTTTTTACAGCTGTTCTGTGCAGACAGTAATGTATTTTTGTAAGACTTTTTTGACACTGAATTGCAATAAATGTTCAAACAATGTGAACCACGGAGCTGGTTGTCTCGTTACCTCCTGGTGGGTGCCCTTATCCGCCTGGAGCTTCCTGCGGAGCAAGGAGCAGCTCTCCTGCAGGAATGTCCAGGAGCCGGCATCGCTGGGGCAGGAGGTACATGGGGAGTGTTGGGGAGAGGCAGAGCTGCTGCTTCCCTGGAATTATGAGGGAAGCGAGGCCCTAAGGAGCCTCCTGCCAGCACAACCAGTGCTCAGGGAGCTCGTGCTCTGCAGCAGTGAAGGGAACASCTGGAGCTTGTCCTGGCCCAGCAGCTTCCACTCCAGCCTGTGCGTTACAGGTGTTGGGGGGCTGGTTCTTCTGGTTTTTGTCAAAGTAGCTGAGATTTTTCATTTCTAATTACAGTTGCACCTGGTTGAGGTCAAATGTGACACAAACCCACTTGAATGCAACCCTGTGCCRCGAGCTCTGGGGGCCTCTGCGTGTSTGGGGGGGGTTGGACTAGATGGTCTCCAAAGGCCCCTTCCAACCTTAGGGATTCTATGAAACCCAAGCTCCTGCCTAGAAGGAATGTGGATGTCTTCCATAGAAGGAATTCGKGGTAAATTGGGGTCAATAACTTCCTGTTCCAGTGTGTGAAGTTATCTTTGTGAAACAGGGTCACCTGCCTTATGAAATCCAGCTACAAAAACAAAGCACAAACTGCAGGTGCCTTTTTAATTTCGGTTTCCTTGACTGCCAAATCAGGTACATTTGGGCAGTTTCATGAGTCTTTGATAACAGTGTGTCTCTTAGGCAAAATTTTGGAAAGAGGAGCCTCTCTGCAAGATGACCAGCTCTGTTTATGGAGGAGAGAAGAAAGTCCTAGGTACTTTCAGTCAAACTTCATGAGAAGAGGTGAAATTCAGTACTCTGAATAAACCTTTAAGGGGAATATATGATTTTAGAGGTGTGTTGTAGACCCATATAGACTCACCTATAACCCTTTCAGATGAAAGTACAGTTGTTGCTCTCCCCATTTTCTTAGTGCTGTCACCTTATCTCTTAAGACCTCATGAGGTGAGAAGGACTTGTCAGGTGGGGTGAAGCTCCRTCCTGCCTCAACCAGGCCCGATAACTCCAGCAAAGCCAATAATCCCATGGGAGTTCTTCCGATCCTTGTTGTCCTGTGTAGACCTCAGCAAGGTAGAGTTTGACACGAAAGCCCTTTGAAAACTACTTGCACAAATAGTGCTCAAACTTGGCGAAACTTCCCTTGATCTTCAGCTTTTGTTTCTCTGCTCTAAAGCAGTGTGGGGCGGCTGAGCTTTGCTGAACAACTTGGGAGGTGGTTTTTGTTTTGGACCAGACCTGAGCTGCTCCCTTCATAACGATGCCGAGATGGGAGACCTGGCGCTTCAGAAGGGCGCTGTAAACAACTCCCGTGGGGTCGAAGGCCTTTCCGAAGCTGGAAAGGCCCCAGCTCACCCGCTGCAATTCTCGCTGTGTGTTATATTGTGCTTTTTAATAGAAAATAAGCTAATGCCTTTTTAATGTGTTTTACTTGGACTGTTTTAGTCCTGCTCAGAACAGGCCTTGAACTCGTAGCAGAGGGAGGAAGCAGACATGAGTTTCCAGCCCGGATGGAGTGTCCAGGCCCTGGTTGCTGCTGATGCCTTATCAGCCTTCCCACCTCCGCTGTTTCGCTGCTGCCTTTTGCAGCAATGACAAAACGCAGCTGTTTGGAGCGGGTGGCAGCGCTGGGGGCGCAGGGCGACTACGCAGACACCCCGCTGGAATCTGCATTCACGGATGGAGGAACTCGGCTTGCTTCGGGGAAGCTGATTGCCTCCTCTGGAAGGCACAACATTTCTGGCAGTTTTGAAAGAGCTCCAAGTTGAAAACAGAAATGTCAGCGCGAAGGAGCTTGCTCATAAAGTGCACCCAAAAATGGGTGCCAGGGCGGGGACCGAGCCTTGCTGAGGCTCCTCGGAGCTTGTGCTTTGTTTCTGTATGGAGCAAACGGGCTTCTTCCTACACCTCTGATGCCCGAGGGGCTTTATTTGCTCCTTTTACTTGCTTATGGATAAGGAAACGGCTCTCGTTTAGCGTAACTGGCTCAGTGCTAGGTGGAAAGCCACAATCTTCCTTTTACCACCCACTTTTATATTTAAACACTCTATTTTTAACCCAATGGTGGGATGCAGGGTTAATGCTCGTTAGTTCTGTGTCTAGACAGCTGTGGAAAACAGGAAATGAATGACATGATGGCACCAAGGGGGAATTTAACCTGTTCTCTCCTAGTTACGTGTGGGATGGGAGCGCTGCTTTATGGCAGGCAATTTTTGACAGCTTGAAGCAGAAAGCAAGACAAGAAATGCTGGGTTTTCACAAGGTATCTTACTGAAAATAGCRACCCAAACGCTGTCCCCAGCTACACCAGCCAGTAGCTCTTTCCCTCCTGTCCAGTTTCTGTAGGAAAACTGCATTTTTATTATTCCCTYGTTCTCTGAACAGCCAAAGGATGGTCAAGATGACCAGTTTCAGAGCCCCCCAGGGCTGCAGGAGGTGGGTGTTACTATTGATCTTCTAAGCAGTTGGAGCCAAGCAAAGCAGGTTTATAACCCACCTTCGCACCTAAGAGCATCTTCTGTCTGTTCTCTTTAGACCACCCCAGGCCTCAAGTCTTTTTTTTTTTTT